AAAGCTATTGGCAATAGGTGGAAACCAGAATTTTGGCAGGCAGCAGAGAAGGCCAAAACCAGGGGTTTAAAGGTAAGAACTTTAGAGTGGGGTGAATGGGGATAGGGTAGGGGTATGAACAGGAGGAAGACCAGGAGGAACTGAATTTAACAGTGGAAGTATAGAGATTGCCTTAGAGAGCAAGCAGGACATCTGTGGGTAACAACACTAAACTAGAAACTGACAGCTGTAAATAAATATGTTTTCCTTATTTTATTAACAGCTTTAAAGTGGAAAAAGTTTGCGTGAACCAGCTTTAAATGGAGACTTCTTGTGTTTACCTAATTAACCTCCACCATTTCTCCCCTCAACTGGCTTTGTTTAAGATTTAAGATTTCTATTTGTACTTGTAATGTGTCATGATCAAGCTTACCATGGAATTCAATGGTATTATGATCACTATTTCCTATTGGATCTTTTAGACTGTGATTTTTGATTAGCCCTATTTCATTACACAATACTAGATCTTAAATAGTTTTATTCCCAGTCAGTTCTCTTGTTTCAGCAAACTATAACAAAACTTTCTACAAACTCATCTTCTAGACCACTCTTTCCTATTTGATTGTCCCAGTCTAAATGAAAATTAAAGTCCCCAACAATTATTATAATGCCTTGTTACAAACTCCAATAATTTCTCACTTAATGCTGTGCAGAAAGAACAGTAAACAGAGGATGCAGACTGAAGATAAGTGGCAAAACAACAGGCAGTATCTCGTAAAACATAATAGAGCAGAAATTGCTTTATCATCAGAGCACCCCTGCCTGACAAAGGTGGACGGAAGCAAATTCAGTCCTAAATTTAAAAGGTACTGGACGCAACTTGTTATAGATTATAGATCTACAGGGAAATTATAGAACTACAGGGGAAAATTGAGGGGAGTAGGACTAATCAAATGGTTCTTTCGAAAAGCAAGTACAATATGAAAGGCCGAATGGTCTCTGTGTGTAATTCCACGATTCTATCCGTTGTCACACAGCGGATTTCTGCAGGATAAAGAAGTCATTAGCACTGCAGTGATATTGACTGATTCACTGCTATTGTCACTCCACACTGAAGGAGTGGAATGCCATTCAGGTGGTAAAAATTACAGCTTTGCAATGGAATATCGCTTGTGCATTTTTGGCAAAGGAGAATGAAATATTCTTGTTTGTTATTGAGTGCAGTCTCAGTCATATCCCTATTGTGCCTGTGCAAATCAAATTCTCAATTGTTGCATGTGACTTCAGATGCAACAGGAAATGACCATTTGCATAAAGCCTGACAATGGCAGTGACTTTGACAGCCAGAAGCGTGCTATGTCTCACGATCAGTACATCCGTGTAAATTTAAGAGACATAGTGGTAATGTTATCACTGTATCACAGCACATGACCTGAAGATATAAAACGCTCACACTCCATCTTGTCTCTGATCACTTCAAGCATGTTGCTTGATGAATGCTACTCCATTGTAAACTTAGATAAGATAACACAGTGTGGAGCTGGAGGAACACAGCAGGCCAGGCAGCATCAGAGGAGCAGGAAAGTTGACGTTTCAGGTTGAGACCTATCTCTCCTTTGTAAACTTCTATCTGCATGTCAGCCAGACACTTAGGTTCCCGGGAAATGTAGTATTTGGACACCATAGTTGGCTATAGAGAATATCTGTTGGATTCTTCAATTATCCAAGGTCCATGGCCAGTTTCTTTGCTGCAGGAGATAATATAAGTATCACCACATAAGCTAAAACACACAGCTAGAGGCGAAGACGCACTACAAAGTAGTGTAATCCATGACCTGCCTTTATGCTGCAGTACAGCTACAGGATATCCCCTCACTAAGGGTGATATAAGACATGTTTTGTGAACATCTTGGTGGATAAAGTTTCTTGTTGACTTCATGGCCCCTTCACCTCCCCTGGCAGTTTTATTGGTTCTGCTGGGCCTTTGTTCATTTTTCTAGTCATCCTCAATTCTAAGAGATGGCCCAATTAGGCCACACAAGTCTGCAGACAAATATTAAGAACAAGAGGATGCAAGAGCAGACAGTCTCCTCTCTATGGATGACTTGAAGCACCAAGTGATTTAAAATTGTGCAATAGGCGCAGGTCAGAATATAGCAACTCCTGCAGAATATCTTTGAATAGCATTGACTTGAAGTCGTTCATGATGTATATCATCATACTGCGATCAGGAAGGCAAGCATAAAGACTCTTAAGTGACTCTTGGATAGGCATGTGGAGGATAGTAAAATGTAGAGTATGCAGGGTAGTTTGATCTTAGTAGGATAATAGGCTGACACAACATTGTGGGCTGAAGGGCCTGTACTGTTCTATGTTTTATGTTCACAGAACTGCCTAGGCAATTGGGTCCTTCAAGTTTGAAATGAGGAGCCTAAGTTCAGCCTTACTCACTGCATCACCATGATAATGCGACGGCATGTAGTCAGTATTTGATAGCTGATGCACTGTGTGTCTTGAAAATGTACACAAGTGTAAGGCCATAAAGACATAGGAACAGAACTAGACCATTGACACAAAGACAAAGCCGCTGGAAAAGCTCAGCAGGTCTGGCAGCATCTGTGAAGGAGAAAACAGAGTTAACGTTTCGGGTCCGGTGACCCTTCCTCAGAACTCATTTACAGCATCCGCAGTTCTTTTGGTTTTTAGACCATTGACACAATGGTCATGGAAGCACAACAATGTCTTTACTTCCTCAGGAGGATAAGGAAATTCGGCATGTCCACAAAGACTCTTACCAACTTTTTAATAGATGCCCCATGAAAAGCATTCTATCCGGAAGCATCTCAGTTTGGTTTGGCAACTGTTCTTCCCGAGACTGAAAGAAACATAGAAGTTGTGAACATAGGCCTGTCCATCACACTAACCAGCCTTCCATCCATTGCTTCCATCTATACTTCCCGCTGCCTCAGGAAAGCAACCAACATAACCAAAGACCCCTCCCGCCCCAGTTATACTCTCTTCCACCCTCTTCCATTGGGTAGATGATATAACAGTTTATATACACATACGAATAGATTCAAGAACAGCTTCTTCTGTGCTGTTATCAGACTTCTGAATGGACCTCTCAAATTTTAAATTTAGCGTCAATCTAGCTGTTCGTGCACCTTCTCTGCAGCCAAAGCATTTTATTCCTTGTTCTGTTCTATTACTCTAATGCACTTTATATGGTATGATCTGCTTGTACTGCATGCAAGACAAAACTGTTCGCTGTACCTAGGTACTTGTGACAATAATAAATAAAATAAAATCAAAAATTCTGCCCATCGAGTCTGCTCCACCAGTCAAAGAGATCAAGGCTGATCTGATAATCCTCAGCTCACCTTCTTGCCTTTTCCCCATAACCCATGATTCCCTTACTGATTATAAATCTCTACTATCTCAGCCTTAGATATACTTAAGAACCCAATCTCAACAATCCTCTGTAGTAAAAAAATTCTACAGATTCACTGTCCTCTGAGAGATGGGATCCTTCTTCATCTCTGTCTTCATCGGATAACAACCTACACTGACAATAATATGAAACGGAACAATGAATGCTGAAGATCTGAAACAGAAACAGCAATTGCTGGAAAAACTCAACAGGTCTGACAACATCTGTGGAGAGAAAGCAGAGTCAATGTTTTGAAATTCTGAGGAAGAGTCACTGGACCCAAAATGTTAATCCTGTTTTGACCCTCCACAGAGAGTTTAACTTACTTTTTGTGGTTTGATTTAGAGGATAAAAAAAAACTGAACATCATTGTGGCCATTACCCAGTCAAAAACGGGAGTAAACAGGATCAGTTTTGCATTCCAAGCCATTGTGTCCAGTGGTTATCTTTCAGATGACCAGCAATGCACTGAGTCAGGCTACATTATGTTGAAGTTGTACAGGACGTTGGTGAGGTCTCTTCTGGAGTACTGTGTCCAATTCTGTTTGCCCTCCTTTAGGAAGGATATGTTTAAACTGGAGAGGGTTCAGAAAGGATTTACCAGGATGTTGCCAGGAATGGAGGGTTTGTGATATAAAAATAGACTGGAAGGGCTGGGACATTTTTCACCGGAACGCAGCAAGTTGAGGGTTGACCTTATTCAGGCTTATAAAACTATGAGGTGTATAGATAAGGTGAATGACAAATGTCTTTTCCTTAAGGTGAGGGAAAACTAGGGGCCATATTTTTAAGGTGAGCAGAGAAAGATATAAAAAGGACATGAGGGACAACTTTTTTACACAGAGAGTGGTTCATGTGTGGAATGAACTGCCAAAAAAAATGGTGGATATGGGTACAGTTATAAAGTTTAAAAGACATTTGGATAAGTACATGAATAGGAAAGGTTTGGAGGGATATGGGTCAAGCACAGGCAGGTGGGAGTAGTTTATTTTGGGAACATGGTCATTGTGGACTGGTTGAATCAAACAGTAGTTTCCACGCTGTATTACTGTATAACTCTATGTCAACACCCTAAAACTAATAGTGGATCCCTTGCATATATTACTGAGGGTGTTTTAACAATTGTGCTAAGACCCACTGGAAAAACCCATTTGTCCTGTACAAGGGGCCCCTCTGGATTATTTGGTGTATGTGCAGTCTAACCCAATGGTTCTTGTAGGGACATTGACGACAGCTATTAAACATTTAACCAATTAAAATGTAAGGAAATGTATGCCAAAAGCATCAGGGGTATTTCCATTGTTTAACTGGGCTGGAGTCACCTCCTAAATCTCCATTCATCATCCATAATACTATCAGTGCCTCAACAAATAAGACAACTGTTAGAAATTGCCAGGCACCACAGCTCTCAGCAGCTTCTGGTATCAACTGCTCATTATCAACTTTGGGTTACCTTCGTCCTGGGCTTATCCCCCTAAAACATCCACATTACCTGTGTGAGCGATTCACCTATCTATTTTAACCATTTTATTCCAATGAAAATGTAAGACCTTTAGAATGACGCAAATGAAGGCAAGGTATTGCTGTGCTTTCTTTAATTTAAACAGCCTTTTAGTATAAATGCTGAACAGAAGGTACATTTCCGAGGATACGACTGTTGCATATGTGTGAGATATGTATACAATGAGAAAACGGAATAACAGAACACTATTTAAAATGTAGAAATACAATCAGCAAGTTTTAGAAACACAGTATAAGAAATGTTCTACAGCAACAAAAACTTTTTCATCAGCAACTGATAAATATTTATCATCAAATGGAAATTGCATAACAGCACATGCAAATCCTGCTGGCCTTTTTATTCTGTGTGTGTGTTGTATGTATATAATATATATATAAAATATATATGAACTGTGAGTTTTGCAGTTATCCCTTGTTTTGTTTTATTGCTGGGGGATCTTCTTTTTCTTTGGAACCAGAACCTTTCTCTTTGGTAGATTCGGTTTTTGCCTGGGTGCCATGCCACCGGGTCCAGTCGGAGACAAGCGTGGAGCATCACTTTTAGCTTTTATTTCATCAACAGACACTTCCAGGGCAGTAAACTTGTCAGTCAGATCTTTCAGCCGTTCTTTTAGAGCATTAAACTCAGTGAATAGGTCACTAAGAGCCTCTGAAAGAGGCGTTATTCTGAAAAACAGAATGAAATCATGCTATGATTAAGTGAAAGCTATTGGTCTTAGGAAGGTGTTTTTCTTGAAAGCATCTTCTATTCAATTATTTTCTTCTTCCCTGTTTTATGTTTTCCCAAATAAGACATAAATGTTCACCTTACAGGGGTTAGCAGTTATCCACTGAAAAACCTTGAGATATGCTGCTTTCAATGCCCCAAAGTGTCAAGGACTGGATCAAATTGATTTGCTTCCTGATTTCCCCTCCCTCCCTGTGGGAAGTAATATGCATTTATATCTCTAGACATGTTTGCTGTGCTCCTTTATATTCTTGGGCTCAGCTATGCTCCAGCTCAACTTCCTCGATGAGTTAAAGGGACTTTTAATTCAATGGTAGGTATCTTTTTACATTTTTTGTCTATGCTGTGCAAATTTGATCGATGAATATAGTTCAGTGATGTCTTAGCTAATGGTTTTTCATTTTGTCCAATGCATTTTCCTTCCAGAATGAATGGATTTCAAGTTTCTAGTCAATCCTAATCATCTGTGTGCAAAGCGGTCTGATTTCCTGATGTTGTAATGGAGTTTGTACCTTATTTAAAAATCAGGTAGGTGGATGTGTCAGATACTTCTCCTAAATATTCAATAACAATTTTTTAAAAATCATTTTGCGAACAGATTTCTAAGTTTTGCCATTACAAGTTACTGCATTAACCTATTCACATAAACCACTGATAGGAATGTAGATGTGATGTTTGCCTGTCTATTTCATGAGGCAGTGGAGACACAGTGAAACATTCTAGCCTAGAACTGGACCCAAGAATGACTTTCTTGTCAAATATTTGTTAACAGTATAGGGGCCATCCATGTGCAAAGATACTATATTTTTAAATGGAAATACTAAAGGGTCACATGCTAAGCTCTACAAAATAAAGCGGCCTTAAAGATTGCATACATTGCAATACTCTGGAGATTGTTCTAAACTCTGCATGACCACACCCACAAATATTTGAGATGTGCACCCCTTTCAAATACTTAATGTTATCCGGTAGTCTGGAATAACCAGAACCATGTCTGATTCCTTTACGTTCTCTTTCAGTGACATTAGCTTTCCAAAGTTCTGAAATAATATGACAAACTAAGCCAAAAATGTTTGCTGCTTTGCATAATTCTAAAGTCACCTCGTTTTATGAATGTTAAGTACTATGTTAAAGTTGCAAACTTTGGTTCTTGTTACAGCTAAATCCAATGCCATATCAAAACAAAATGTTTCTGGTTGTTGGTGATACCTATAGTGTTGGCCAAGAGTGTGCCAACATGGGATATATTATTCAGAATTCCTCACAGCCAAACTGCCTATTTGCTTTCCAAAAATGTCTTAAAAATCCACGCCACTTGTGTTCGACTTTCAGGGGCAGATTTATAATTATTCTTGATAAGGCACAGACTCCAGAGAGTAAGAGCGACACATCCAGATGCAAAATGATGGTTCCAGCTACAGCACTGTAAGCTGCCAAGCCAAACATTCCCCTGAAATATTTAGTCAGCGCAGCTCCAAGATGAGTTCAGCCAAACAACTGGATCAAGGTGGAGAATCATCGAAAAATGCCAGCGTTTGTAATGAAATCCCAACTGAAGCTGGCCGAGAAACAGCCACGTTTGCACTTTTAACGAAGGAGGTCGTATTTTTAATTAAGAGGACAAGAACCAGTTGGAACATCAATTACGGCCAAACCCCAAGCATTGAATTTGAACTGAACTTTTACTTAATTCAGCAACGTAACTTTAAATTTAGCACTGCTGTAATGCTCTGAAAAGAACCCCACACTAACCTGAATTTTAGTCAACGTGATTAAACATATTTTAAATCATTGCAGTATGCAACAAACATCTGTCACCTGGAGTAGTCTGGGAGGAGGGATTGGTGGTCATTTGTCAGCATGTCTCTCATCTGAGTCAAAATGTCAAATCTCCAGTTGTCCAATATCTGTGTCAGATTGGCAACTCCACGCATATTAACTTTATCAGCTACAAAAATAGGGTAAATACTTTTAAATTACGTTCAAACTGAAAACAAAATTGGCATTACAAAGCATCGTAAGTTGGCCTGCGAAACAAATATTTCTGCGATTTCTCTTCATCGACTAATACAATGAAAAGCAATTTGGAGCAGGGTCATGTCAGTTTACAAACAAAGATTCAAACACATATCCACGTCTTCCTTATTCTCACAGAATGAATCCATTTGAGTGCCAGTATTGAGAACATTTTAAAAAAAAACAGTCTGAACAAAGTTAGAATATTATTTAAGCAACATTCTGTCTGTTTGTGATATTGTTGACTTTATTTGGTATATTCCAAATTTAATATTTCAAGTTTACAGACATTAGATGTTATGTTCTTCAACAAATACAAGTCATCAGCTAAAATCATATTCACATAAATTATTGAAGCAGGATTTCTTGTAGCTAATGAAATTTTAAATGTGCAACTGCAGTAAATCAATTACAAGGGGAATTTTACTTACATCCATCTTTGTAATTCCATTCGCCACTTTGAACACGTTTTTTGCCATGCATCCCCGGCAGGAAAATTAAGAAAAAGACAATGAGTCTGAGGAACATCCTGAGCTGAAAAGTAGGAAGCTGTCCTTGTTGACAATCCTAAACTGAGGTGAGAACAAAAATAAAAACAAACAAGTTAGTTGTTGCATATATTCAAGTACAAATGCAAATACCACAGAGGATTGAACGAAGAGTGTTTAAAACATCAGAATTTTAACAGACTTTAAAATAGAAACAATGCAAAGTTAAAATACGTCTTTTCAAAATGATGTCTGTCACAGTAAGCGTAAATACAATTGCCTACCCTATGTTGAACTGAGAGGTTACTGTGAAGTCCTTTAATGCAACAAACACTGTGAGATGTTTAATCTGGAATTGATTTCAATGTTTTACTGGAACATGCAGAGATGGCTGGCTGCATCACATGTTCAGGGTGTGGAAAACAGAAAATAAGCACTTAACATCTGCACAGAGCTAAAAATGTTTCTGCCAGATGTTTTAGATTTATTCAGCACAATAAACATGGACATTTGTTTACACTATGTCCTCTTAGAATGGATCAATTCTGAATGAAAATAAATTGTTTTCACACATTTTTAATAAATACTGATTCTAAATCTATGCAATGTTTCAAAGAAGGCCGAAAGTATTTTCTTTTGTGTTCGTGTTTCGGGCAAATGTTTAGTTTGGCAGTTTCCAATGCAGTAGCTAGAATGATCATTTTGCAATTCACTGTCATTTTCTGCATCCCATACACTGTAAATTATAACTTGCTGTGATGGGAGAAATAGCAGCAAAGTAACTCATTAATTGTAGACTTTGATTGTCATATGATAAACATAGCAAGAGATTGTACACTCCTGTCACCTCTTAAAGGCTGAATCTTGCAGGTGTTTTGTTTGGCTATGTCCAAATTACATCGAGTGTCTTGGAACATTCCTCATTGCAAAGACCAGCAGGATGACTCGCCATCTCAAACCAAGCTTGTCTACCTTAACTACCTACCTTCCCCTATGTTATCCCTCATGTCCAAGTCTATTCCCATTTTACCACACACTATTTCCAGAACAACACACAACTCACTGGATACCCACTGAAAGATCAGCATCCATGGTACCCATATCACAGTACACCCAAACAGTCAGTTCTGAGCTGCTCTGCATGGCTCCTGACATGGGAAGACAGCATTAAATTCATATCCTTTTTGCCAGCAATGACTTGGAAGTCCTTTTTTTTTAATTCATGGGCATTGCTGGCTGGCCAACTACCATCAGTTCTAAGGAAGGGCCAGTCGAAACGTTAACTCTCTCCACAGATGCTGCCAGACCTGCTGAGCTTTTCCAGCAACTTCTGTTTTTCTTCATTTCTTGCCCATCCCTGGATGCCCTTGAGAAGGTGTTAGTGAGCTGCTTTCTTGAGTTGCTGCAGTCCACCTGCTGTAGGTAGGATGGCGTCAATCTTCTTGAGTGTTGCTGGGCCTGCTCTCATCCAGGTAAGTGGAGAGGACTCCGTCACATTCTTGACTTCAACCTTGTAGTCGGTGGACAGGCTTTCGGGAGTCAGGAGGAGAGTTACTCGCTGCAGTATTCCCGGCCTCTGGCCTGGTCTAGTAGCCTCTGTGGTGAGTCCAGTTGGGTTTCCTTTAAATGGTAACCCCAGGAAGTTTACCGTGGGGGAATTCAGTGATAATAACTTTCTTAGCTCCCCTGATGCCACACTCGGTCGAATGCTGCCTTGATGTCAAGGCCTGTCATTCCCACCTCATCCCTGGAATTCAGCTCTTTTGTCCGTGTTTGAACCAAGGCTATAATGAGATCAGGAGCTGGATGGCCCTGGCGGAACCCAAACTGGGCGACACTGAGCAGGTTATTGCTGAGCAGGTGCTGCTTAAAAGCACTGTTGGTGACACCTTCCATCACTTTACTGATGACGCGACTGACGGGGTGATAATTGGCTAGACTGGATTTGTCCTGCTTTTTAAGTATAGGACATACTTGGGTAATTTTCCACATTGTCGGGTAGATACCAGTGTTGTAACTGTACTGGAACAGCTTGGCTAGGAGAGCGGCAAGTTCTGGAGCACAAGTCTTCAGTACTATTGTCGGAATGTTATCAGGGCCCGCAGCCTTTGCATTATCCAGGTGCCTTCACCCATTTCTTCATATCATGTGGAGTGAACCGAATTGGCCGAAGACTGGTATCTGTGATTCTGGGGACCACTGGAGGAAGCCGAGATGGATCATGCACTTGGCACTTCCGGCTGAAAATTGCTGCGAGTACTTCAGCCTCATCTTTTGCACTGATGTGCTGGGCTCTTCCATCATTGCGGATGGGGATATTTGTGGAGCCTCCTCCTCCAGTGAGTAGTTTAAGTATCCACCACCATTCACAACTGGATGTGGCAGGACTGCAGAGCTTAGATCTGAACCGTCGGTTATGGGATTGCTTAGTGCTGTCTACCACTTGCTGCTTTCGCTGTTTGGCGTGTAAGTAGTCCTGTTTGGTACTTCACCAGGTTTACACCTCATTTTTAGGTATGCCTGGTGCTGCTCCTGATATGCCCTCCTGCACTCTCCATTAAACCAGAGTTGATCCCCTGGCTCGATGGCAATGGTTGAGCGAGGGATATGCCGGGCCACGGGGTTACAGATTGTACTGGAGTACAATTCTGCTGCTGTTGATGGCCCACAGCGCCACATGGATGCCCAGTCTTGAGTTTCTGGATTTGTTTGAAGTCTGTTCCATTTAGCACGGTGATTGTGCCACACAACATCTTGGAAATTATTCTCAATGTGAAGACAAGACTTTGTCTCCACAAGGACTGTGTGATGGTCACTCTTACCGATACTGTCATGGATAGATGCATCTGCAGCTGGCAGATTAGTAAGGATGAGGTCAAGTATGTTTTTCCCTCTTGTTGGTTCCCTCACCACCTGCTGCAGACCCAGTCTAGCAGCTATGTCCTTTAGGACCCGACCAGCTCGATCAGTAGTATTGCTGTCGAGCCACTCTTGGTGGTGGACATTGAAATCCCCATACCAGAGTATATCTTACGCCCTTGCCACCCTCAGTACTTCCTCCAAGTGTTGTTCAACATGGGGCTGTACTGATTCATCAGCCGAGGGAGGACGGTATGTGGTTTCAGCAGGAGGTTTCTCTGTCAGTCGCAGAAAAAGTTGCAGTAATGCAGGGAAAGGTCCTTCAGTGACAACTTACAGATCATATTTGGCCTACAAGGGGTGGACTGTCCAATGCCCCCACCCCCCACTGGGTAAAATTACAGTGAGGTTGGTAGAAGTGGATAGACAGTGGGAAAGCCACTTGTGGTCTTTTGTCCAATTTTTTTTTGTCAACCCATCCCGAGGACAACATAAAGTTCCACCCAGTGACATTGTTTTTCTCTCTCCCCAGCTGCTCGATGTTTCCAGAAGCTTCTATTTTAATATCCACGTAAGTAAATGGGGCCCTTTACAGACAGAACCAGGAGTAAATATATTAGTGAATAAGTAAATGGGGGAGACATTAAAAAAAAATGCTTTCTATTCAACATCCCAGCAGCAGCCATGACAATTACAGGATCAGTGAACAAGCAAGGGTCTAGTGACAATGAAGTCAAGATAATTAGTCAAGAAATAGTACTGTAGAAATTAATAGAACTAATGTCTGACAAATACCTTACCCTAATGGCTCCCATCACAAGGTTTTTAAAAGGAACTAGCTGCATAGCAAATGGGTGCATTGGTATTTATTTTCCAAAATTCCTTCCAGTTTTCATTAAGAATCCCCACTGGTTCAGACATGTAGGCATCACCCTACTATTTAAGAGCAAAGGGAGAAAGAAAAGAGAAAATGAGAGGCCAGTTATCTAGACATCAATAGTAACCAAAATACTACAATCTGTTGTGAGGAGCATTGTAACAAGGAACTTAGCAATCATAGTCGGATTGGGCAGTGTCAACAGAGATGACTGATTGAGTTTATTGATGAGGTCGGAGAGGGGACTGCTGAAGTTGATGCGGTTTCGCATTTGATAAAGCGCTGCAAAGCTGAGGCCCATGAATTGAAAGGGTTGGTGACACTGAGGATACAATGGATACAAACCTTTGGTTGCGACAGGAAACAGAAAGCACTGTCTCAAAGAGAATGGCCTGGGAGACATTACAATGTGTACCTGAAAATGGGAATTAACACATTTTTAACCCTTGGTGTTGCTTGCAGATTTTGATATACTTCTGACTGTTGAGTTTAAACCACTTAGGTCAATTTTGAACAGCAGTGTTCCCTGTGGAAGGTCACTTTCCAATTCTGTCAGGACAAATAACTACTTTTAACCAAGTAATGCCTCCCTCCAATTGGCCCAGCTTTGTATTTTAGCCCTTTAAGAATTCCATGGTCTGGAAATCCCACTATCATGATCTTTGTGGTCCCTAGTATGTAATGGGAGCATCAGCAGGAAATTTATCTCCTATCCTGGGAAAATGTTAATTCAATTCAGGGCATGGGCAAATGGAATATTTGAATAAATAGTTCAGATCAGAAAGGTGACTTAAGAAGTATCATAACGTTATAAATGCAGAATGCTATGACTGGCTTTGTAGCTTTCTTCAAATTACTATTCATGAATTTGCACTCTGGAGAATCTCACCTTTCTCATTATTTTATCAACATGTAAAACTGCAGTGAGATTGTTGGAGATGGGTGGACATTGGGAAAGGCACTTGCGGTCTCTTGCCAACCCATCCTGAGGGCAATATAAAATTCCGCCCATTGACAATAGGACTCTCAGTGAAATGTACTTTCCAAAGCACTTTCTGTACCTTTGCCACCGTCAGAGCTTCTTACAGGAGATGTTCAACAAATCATGTTCCTATTATTTCATTCAGATTAGCATAATTCAGTCAGTCAGAACCTAATAGTCACTCTTCATAATTAATATGAGCTGTCCGCTGAATGTTTGGAAGTCAAACGAGAAAATTTACATTCATGACTAAAAAATGAAAATAAATGTTGCTTGAGAACACATAGAACCTATTAAATTGAACATTTGACATTTTGAAACTAGGTCAGACTCAATCACATTAACATCTATCTCTTCATAAACATGTGTGAAATTCTTTTTCTCCTGTACTGAAAATAATCCTTTTACCTGAAACAAAAAATGATTGAATCTCAATTTTGAATGATTCGATTGAGATAATCATTGCTGTGCTGAGGAAGTTATTTTCACAATTTAACAACTCAAAAAAGAAAACGAGTCTTTTATGCTAAGTATATGATGTGGAGACATCAGTGTTGGACTGGGGTGGACAAAGTCAGAAATCACACAACACCAGGTTATAGTCCAACAGGTTTATTTGAAAACACAAGCTTTTGGAGCACAGCTCCTTCGTCAGGTGAAGTGACTCCAGAAGTCC